AAAAAAAGATACATTTTTCTTTCCTCTTCTTCTTACATACAAAAAAAAAAAATTTTTTTTTTGTACTGTTTTTTAAAATCATTCGTGTTCAGATGTTACGAATGAGTAGATCGTGCGGTACAAAGAGCGCAAATTTAATAATAATAATAATAAAAAAGAAAAAAACTTAAGGATTATAATAAATTCAAATTAAAATTAAAATTGGAAAAAAAAAATGTGTTTTTAAGAATTAATCAGAAAAATTGTGTGTGTCAAATTTTGGAGAAAGAGAATAATTAAATAATTAAAAAAAACCAGCAACACAAAACGAAAAATAACAAATTAAAATGAAAAAAATAAAATTTTATATAAAAAAAATTTTTGCATAAAATATGCATATCCTTTGTATATAATATCCTTGCATGCATTATGGATAATTTTCTTATTTCATAACAATTAATTTTAATATTGTTACTACAAAAAAATTGTATCTAGTGCTACAAAATTTTATTTTTAATTTAATTAAATAAATTTTCAATGTGTGAAAACAAAATTAAAATTTTTAATTAAAAGATTTGACTGATTGCATTTTGTAATTTTCACCAACAATAAAATAATTGTATCGTAAAACAAAAATAATCGATATAATTTGATTTAGTTCAACAATTTGGAATTTTGGATAATTTTGTATTTAGGTCTTGTTTTTTCTAATATTATGTAATTTAATCTTTAACTTTGAAGAACAAAAAATAGGAATAGAATTTTATTGTTTAAGTTACATACTTGATTTAGTGATTAACTAAAGTCTTGTTGCTCTATTATATAATAAATTGCTCAGAATTCTATAACAGGGTGGTCTATTTACTGAAAATTGCAAAATGAATTCAATAAATTTAAATTTTTGTTTTTGAAATATTAAAGTGATAATTTTTTTATTATGCTAGAAATTTTCAATATTAAAATTATATTTTTCATAATAACTATCGTGTTGACTAAATTTTTTCCAAAATTTTCGAATTTTTTTTTCGAAATTGAATTTTTTATGCGACTACATAAATTGATGTTATCACTGTAATTTAGTTTATTTTTGGTTGCTAAAAATGTTGAAGTAAAGGCAATAAGAATAAAAATGGAAAGTATTTGACTGAAAGGGAGGGGGGACGGTACTAAATATTTAAATTCTGAAGTCTAATAATTATTTCATTGCATATTTTATTACTTAAAAAAATAATTAATAATATGCACATAAAATTATTTTAAGCACTTAATTTAGGTTAGTTTGTGCTGCTATGTTTCAAGATCTTTAAAAATATATTTTGAGACAACAAATTAAGCCACTGATTTCAATAAAAGTGACAAGTTAAACCAAATTATTTAATTATTTTTCTAATGAAGAATTTTGAAATTTTTTAATTATTTAAAATTCCATGTAATTTCCATGTATACATATAAAATTCATTACAAAATCGCAAAGTTATTTCATATAAAACAACACAGGTCATCTTTTACACATTTGTTGTACACTTGTAAGCTGTGTATGTAAAAAAAGGTGTTTTCAATTCACAAATAATGGTGTTCAATGTTTTTTTTTTCTTGAAATAAAATATTTTTATTGCATTGATTTCGAAATATTTTTATTGCAGATCAAATGTGATCAATTTTATTCGAGTGACTGTTGTCACTATAAAGAGTTAAGTCATTAGCTCATATATTACACTATTTTTCTTACATTTTTATATGTATAACAAATTCTTAGAATTTTTCAATTTATTACTAAATATAAAACAAATATTTTAAGTAATTGTAAACCATTTAAAAGAATTCTACATGAATTCGTTGTGACCGTATTTAAAGTGCTTAAAATATTTTTTACACATATAAAAAATAAAAGTATACTCTAAACGTCTTTTGATTATTTTATTTTCATTTTTTTTATTGTGTTTTTGTTTTTTGTTTTTTTTTTGTATAGAAATGAAAAATACAAATAAATTTTTAAGTGAATCATCCCTCTTCTTTGATATTTAATGCGTATATGTGGTTTTGTTTTTCTTTTTTTTTGTTCTTAACGTTATTTTTTTCTGTCTAGTCACTAAAGTAAACACAAAGAAAATAAAAGTGAAAATAAGAAAGGAAAAAAGGGAAAATAAGAAAAATCAGTTAAAAATAATGTATAGAAAAAAAAAAAAAACAAAAAAAAAAAAACAGTGACATGGAAAATTTATAATTTTGTTTTTCTTTGCTATTTTTTTTTGTTTGTAACTTTTTTTCTTGTATTTGGAAATTTGTTATAATCTTTTAGTCAATTTTGTTATTTTGTTTATCAGATCTTGATTTATTTTTTTTTTTTTTTACACATAAATGTTTATTTAATGTGTTTGTTATGAATTGTTGTTTTTGGTTTTTTTTTTGTCATAGAAGAAAAAAAAATCGAAATTCTTTTCAATAAGTTTGGAAAACAAAGCAAAGTAACAAAACTAAGATGAAGAAAACAAGAAAACAAAAAAAAAATTTTTGGAAAACTTTAATTTTCCAATTTTAACTTTTTACATAAATTTTCTAAAAATTTTTCCCTTTCTTTCGGTATTTTGAAAAGAAAGTTTTGCTCGACAAAAAAATCGAAATTTTTTTGGAAAAATTTGAAAATTATTTTTGTAAAAATGATAGAAAAATAAAATTTCATTTATTCCTTTAAAAGCGCAAGATAAAAATTTTGGACTTTATTCAGCAAAATTAAATTTGGAAAAAAAAAGAATTTCTTTTTTAATTATATTCAATAAGTGCTTGTAAATGATCTTGTGGTGTAATATGAGAAAATGAAAATGAAAATTAAATTAATTGTTATTTTTCAATTTTAAATTAAAATTTTCAATGTAAAATATTTTCTCGTAATATTGCATATTATAGGAATATATGAGTAGGAAACATTTGGATTTCGATGATTTTTAATAAATAATTTTTTATTAACGTCAATGTTACGTGCATTCATTTGCATAGAAAGCTTGTATTGGAAAATAAATTTATAAATATAAATAATAAAATTAATTAAAAAATATTTTAAAAAATTGTAATTTAATAATAATGTAAAATTAGAGTATAAAACACAACATAAAGAACAATTTTGCCGGTAATTTCTTCATAACTCTGCAGCTCAGTTGGTAGAGCGTCCCGCTAAAAAGCAGTAGATCACTGATACGACTTCAGTTCGAGAAGAATTTTTTTTTTAATTTTCCTGCCTTTGCCCGTTTCGTTGATTACGTCATCTATCTGTTCTGCAATTGTTTGAGGAAATTTGCATTAGTAAATTGTTATAAAAATTAATAATAAATCATAAAAAAAAAATAAACAAGTACACGTTCTATTAGTAATGAAATTTTTGTAATTAGCAAACGAAGGTATTAGCTTTTTCATTAATTTTTTCTATTTACTTACAAATTAAAAAAAACTATCATTAACTTTTAACTAACACTTTATGAGTGTGTCAATCGTTTTTAAATAACACATAAAATTGTTAAATATATTTAAAATAATAAAATTAATAAAAATTCCCCTAAAAACACAAAAGCAATCGCTTAAATTAACAATTAATTTTTTAATTTAAAATGAAATTTCACTTTTCATGAACAATTTCCGTGAAAGATTCAGCTCTTATTAATTATAATTATTAATAAAAATTTAATTTGAATAAATGGAATTCACGAGTTTTGTTTTCATATATTTGAAAATAAAATTTCTAATAGAAATTTTTAATTTAAGTATATACAGGCATTCCTCAATTAGTACAAGCTATTTAGTACAATATATGATTTAAAAATGCTTTCAAATATTTTATTACCTCGTTTAGATAATTATTAAGACAGCATGTCGTTATGTGAGTTGTGCCAAAACAATGAATGTGCTTTTCTTGTAAGTTTGGAGTTGAGGATACCAAATTATTTTGTTACAAAAACAATAATCTTCCTTTACTACAAAACTATTATTTTACTTATTCCAAACTGACAATTTTTAAAATTTTCAAACACATTTTCGTATCCTTAACTTGCACAACTTACAAAAACGCACATACATTCATTGTTTTGGCACACATGTAACAATTTTTAAATCTTTTCAACTTTATTTGATTTGAATTTTCTATTGATTCCAAAGTGGAACAGTTTTTAACATATTATTCAAATTCGAAAGTAATTCAAAAATTGTGTGTATTATTTGAAATATACCTGCATATAAAAAATTATCTATGTCCTTTTTGAAATATGTCTTTCGTTTCTATGTATGAAGCCGTAATAAATTTGAAAATTAAATTTCATATATTTTTTCAATGGAATGCAAAGTATTTTTTTGAATAATTTTATTATAAATGAGATATAAAATTTATATGTTTATTATAGAACAATTATAATTAAATATTGAAAATATTTTTTAAGTTTATAACGAGCTTATGAAATATGGTTATGATTTTATAGAAAATTAAAAATTTGATGTGAATTCTAAGTATGATAAAAAATTGAAAACCATAACAATTATTCAAAATATAGCTTTCATATTAGATAAAACGATTCAAGAATAAGATAAGAATACACTTATAAAGAAATAATTGAATAATTTATTAATAATGTTTCATATAATAAAGGATTTTTTAATAATATTTTTAAAATTTAATAATATTTGCCTTGTACAAAATATTTTATGAAGTCTGAAATTAAATTAAATTTATTTTCATTTCATGAGTTTTTCTTCAATTTTAATTTCTAAGAGCTCATAATATTAGAATTTCCTTAATTTTTAATTTTTTAGAAAAAGTGACAATTTGAAAATTTTTTTGCATATTAAGCAAAATTAAGTAAGTTAGTAGAATTGATTATTGAAAATTTATGAATTTCTAAAAAAATTACTTATGATTTAGATTAGTGCAAAAAACATTAATATCAAATTAAATTTTAAAAATTCATAATATTTCTTTATTGAAATATTTTGATATTTCAAAGGAATATCAGGGAACAAAGAATTCAGGAAGAACTGCTGCAAAGGATAATTTTTTTTTCAAAGTTAAAAGGATAAACTCATTTTTAATGAAGGTGAAAAATATTTAATTATATTCAAATTAAATTTATTAATAATTTTTATATTGTTTATGAAAAATTAAAAAAATTAAAAGAATTTGGTAGAATTTTCGAAAAAAATTTATATATTTTTTACAGGTTTCATTTAAAAATATTTAGCGAAGAAAATTTATTTATAGTGCAGTACAATTTTGTAATACAGTACAAATGTAAATGCAGTACATATTTATAATTTCGTCAGTTAAAAAGCAGAAAGCACTAATTGCATTTTTTAGAATTCGGATTTCATAGATGAATTAAATCAGAATAATATAATCTTTGTTGTGGCAAAAAATCTTCCAAATCCAGAATGTAGTTTATAAATCCAGAAATTAAAGAGACCAATCCCATTGCACTAATTGATTAATTTTACAATTTTATGATTATTTCAAATTGAATTTACTCATAACACAGTCTCCTGACTTAATGCTTTCTGCTTTTTAACCGACGATTTATTTTAAATTATTTAATGGCAATTTTGGCTTTTTTTTTACAAGTACGAGTATAATTTTATGAATTGCTTTCAATAAATTTTTTAAATACTGTTTGGATTAGTTTACGTAAATTCCCATTCATTTTTGTATAGCCTCAATTTTTTTAAAAAAAATCCGAAAATGTAAAAGCAGGAACAAAAATTTATAAAATTTTTATATGATGATAACTTATGTTAAATTTTATCACAATTACAAAACTGTTTTAACTCAACTAATTGATTAAAACAAACTATTTGAAGAAAATTTTAAAGTATGATTCAAAACTACTCCCATAATTGTGAGAATGCATTTGAAATGAATTGAAATTATTTGAAAACAAGAGGTATCTGAATTTTGAAAAATATTTATAATTTATGAAATGATACTTCATTCAATGATTCAATCATTCAAATAATTTATATAGAGAATTTTTTTCTGTTAGTCAAATTTAAATTGAAACACACTGTATTCATGACACAACTTATACATTACTCATTTTATATTCAAAATAGCAATCAATCGAAATATCGAATAAATAACAGTTATAACTACGAGATATTATAAATTATGTGATTTTCATTAGCACTTCATTTGTAAGATTATTTTCAAATTTATTTTATTATTTCATATAGCTGCCTACATAGACATAGAATATTAATTGAAAATATAGTTTACAATAAATTCAAAAATAATATTTTTATTATTTTTAATCTAAAATAAGAAGATCAAATTAAAATAATTTATTAAAAATTTCAATTATTTTCATTCATTAGGATTATTATTTAATAAAATTTAATTTTTTTTTTGTTTTACAAAAGAAAAATTTGTTTGAAATTTTAAAGTATTAAATTTCGAAGATTATAAATCTTTAACATTAAATAGAATTATTTATTATAATTATTATTATTCATTTTAATTGAAGTATAATAAATTTTGGTTACAAAAAGACAAAATGTAAGATAATAAAGAATAACAAATTATATTTTGAAAATTACAAATAAAGTTTTTATTGAAATTGTTTGAGTGCATACTTGTAGGCGAATAAATATTTTATTGTTAAATATGTCAAGTATATCTTAAAATAATATTAAAAATTATCTATAATGTGTTAGGGTTTATAATTAAATGAAATATTTCTTAATGTATTGCTAACAAAGCATTTCATATTCAGGACCTCACAATTTGTGTATAAACAATAATTTAGAAATAGAATAGATAAAATGATTATCTTCTTTATTGCATATTCAACTTAAATTTTTAAAAAATTATTTTGCAGTTTTTAAATATATTAATCATTATCAAATCACAAATTATGTCATTGAATATATTAAGGGTCATTCAAAGATTTTAACAAGAGCATTATAGAAAATAAAAAGTAGGGGGTTCTACGCTATTTTGAAGATTATTTTATTGATTATAAAAGGGAGAACCTATTGAAGTATTTTAATTCTTAAAAATAATTTTCTCGCACATTAATTTTTCCAGTATTTATGTAATGCTTTTTATAATATATTTTCTTTTTAAATAATATTAACCGGTATATGACCAATTTAATGAAGTTTAATCAATTTATTTTATTATTTAATTAAGATTTATCAACTCTTAAATGTCTCAGTTTTTAAAATTTTTCATAAACTTTTACGTATTCTAGTTCTAAATAAATATTTTTCGAATTCAATAAATAGCGAATTAATAATTAATTCAATAATTTAGCGAACGCAAAGGTACATGCTATCCGCTTAAGGGTTAATACAAAAATATTATATCCATTTGGGGGTTATTTGGAAACATATCCCTTTACCTTGCACTTGTTAAAATATAGTTTATTCAAAGTAATTATAATTTTTTCATATAATCATGGAATAGTCAAAACAGGTGGACAGGAATTTTTGTTATACCGTTGAAAAATTCTCATTTCTGCCCAGAAAAATATAAGTATGGAATAACAAATAGTTTTCAAGAGCGTGTGAGTTTCTAGCTTTCTGGTAGTGAATATGAAGAAAAATAGGAATATTATTTTGTATTTACTTAAATTCAAGACAAAAGCATGTTGAAGACATCATTGTGTTTCAATGCTATTAGTAAAATAAGGTTTATTAAGAGCACAGTAAATAAGCACTGAGTGATTTTGAACAAGTTTAGAAGATTTTTGCATTAATTAAGGAAACTTAAGAAATTATATTAAATTTTAAAATTCATACTTATCTTAAATAATGACTTACAACTGAATAATGTCTTAAACTTTCCTTCTGGATACAATAATGTGAATGGAAAGTACGTAACATGTCTAAATAATCAAAAAGAAGAAGTTGTTCCCCTATGAAATAAATTTTGTTTTATTGCAAATATTTAATAAATACTCTCGTAATTTATCGTATAAAATACCAGGGTTATATAATATGTGATCTCGATTTTTGCTTTATACAGGCATGGTTTCGATATAAGTTGCATACTATTTCAGCATGTTCTATCATATTGTTAAAAGGATAACAAGTAATATTTAAATTTTTAGCAAGTAACATATTTAAATAATTGCATAAAATTATTTTGAACATAATTGTCTTGATATCTTGAAGACTTCTTCTTCAATAACGGAACTAATTTATTAATTTAGCGAACTATAATTACTTGTCAAGTACTGGGTTAATTATTTTTAAAAAACTAGAGCTATAGTTATAAAAATGTGTAAACAAATCGAAAGAGGCAAACATTAAGTTTAAATAAATTTTTCAATTTTATAAACTCACTTCCTTCCCATTTTGTTTGTTTATTCTTAGCAGAAGAAAAAAAAAACACAAACTTTAAGTGTTTTGCATCAAATAAATTTAAAATTATTTTCGAACATTAATTCTTTAACAATATTATTTATTTAATTCAACCCACCCCTATACCATGAAAATAGAAGAAATATAAAATTTTATTTGTTATATTTGCTTAAAACTTATTTTAATTAATAAAATTTTCAGTAAAGAACTTAAGTAAGCAAGTTTTTATTTTAATTTCTGGTTAAGATACAAAGTTTTCCGAATTTAGTTTCCTTTATATAGCTACATAGTAATACTTTCAAGTGTAAAATAAATTCTAAAAATATAGAAATAAATTTAAACTTTTTAAAGTTAACATGTCATTCTCTTATTAAATTATATAAGAAGTTTCAAATGTAAGTTATTGAGTTGTGTATAATAAAGATCAAATTTATTATAATATTATCAAAGGATTCATTTGAATAGAATGATTTGCTTTTTTAACTTTTATGCTTTTGTAAACATTTGTATATCATGTAAATGTTTATATAGTAATAGCTTTATATCGCGTTCAATGGTATTTCCTGGTAAATTTAAATATTTTTTAGTCATTTAAGATTATGCGCGTATACTAAGAAAATTTGAACTTTTAAAATTCACTTATTAAATTTTGAATATAAAATTATAAAAGGGTAAAATGTGCTTTCACTGTGAAGAAACTGAATGTGTGCATTATGAATTAAATTTGTTATATAAATGAGAAAAAAAATTTTGTATTTGATTAGGAAAAAAAATATTTTTTGGGATTTTTTGATTTAAATAGGATTAACAACACAACAAGTTCGCGTTAGTCATGTTCTCGTTCAATTTAATCCAGGTCAATAACGCACGTAGTAAATATTTTAAAATTTGTTTGCTTAGATATTAAACAATTGAGTTAGAACTAGAGACTTAAATTTCTATAAAATGTCAGAAGTTTTACTTAAGAAATTTTCTTCCATATTAATATTATTTGAAAATTTTTCATTATTTTTTGTAATGATGGTGCTGAACTTATAAATCAAATGACGGCGAACATTTTGTTTTGGTATTTTCATGTCATGAAGTAGCAGTGTTATTATAGGATTTGCATTTATGTCACTAATTTTTTGTATGAAAAAGGATTTTCAAGTAGAACAAAGTTTTTATAAACATTTGATAGAAAATTTTTGAATCTTGAAATCTTTAAAATATGGCAATACAATGCTTTGTTCTCCCATCATACTAACAATTAAATATACGAACATCAATTGTAAAGTTTTAAAAAATTATTAAGAATATGATTGTCGTATTTTACCTAAAAATATTGTTTATTTTCCCAACTCTTCTACAAAAACACAAAAGTTTTTACATACATATTAATATCGACATATATTGTTAATTAATTATACGAACATGTTAAGATTTATGTTATACAGTTTCTTAAAAAGTAAATAATTTCAAGGATATTATTTAATATTTTTAAAGTAACTTCTCTTTTTGAAGTTCTTTTTTAAAAATTCAGTATTAATGTAAATTTTATTTGGTTTATAAGGAAATAAAAATAATCCGGCTTCCCTCTTTTAATAACAAAACAAAAAATTTATTTTAAATATCTTACTTATAAGAGTTTCTCTCAAGGGAGATCTTCTAGAAAATAATATTGAAGAGAAAATTATTAAAGAAAAAAGAGTCTAATATTCGTATATATATATATGTAATATATACGAATATATAAAGA